CAACAACGCCATTGGTACGGAACCGCCTCTGATATACGTGAAAGGACTCGAGAAGAAAAAGTGGCTGTGCAAGATTTTGGAAGATGATGTAGAGATCGAAACGATCGATGCGGATTACGAAGATATCGCACGCCTGACGAACTTGGATGTAATCGGAACCTTGCGCTGCGCGTATCACACGAAACATTGCGCTATGCGGAATGTTTGCAAATTGTACAAGTGGTGGTTTAGCGTAACAAACGTGTAACATAACAATGATTTATATTAATAAAATGATTTATATTAATAAAATGATTTATATCGTACGACTTTTATTCCACCACAGTTATACGATCCTCGTGACATATGATCTGTCGCTTATCTCGCAGTAGGATAGGTCAGTGAATAGGATGGGAAAAGTCTGGTAAAAAAAATAAAAATTAATTTATTTAATATGAATAATATTTATTAAAAAAAACAATAAAAAATATATGTACATTTGAGCAAACAGAATTTTTTTTTCAATTGCAAAAAAAAAAGTTCTTTTCTCGCGAGGAATCGACTGGTGAAACCGACGACTTCGAAAGCGCGTCGCAGGAACCTCGCCCGACCAAGTTTCCTCCGACTCTTCTTCTCTACCACCTGTTTGAACTGCAAAAAGTCAAAATTAAAAAAAAAAATTAATGAATTAATTAAAAAATTTGAGTATGAAAATACTCACCTCTCGATTTTCTTCTTTTTATTTTACTCCCCCGTTTGAAAATTCTAATCGGGAGAGTAAGACATCACAGGGGGGCTGTATCCTGTGAAAATTTTAATGTTGAAAAAAAAAAAAAAATTACAAACATAAAAGTAACTGTAAAAATTTTACAATCTTTCTTACCTCTGTCACCCATTCCCCATCCGTCTTGCGTGTAGCCTTCCTCATCCCCTCCTTCATAAGTCCTCTCTTCTTCCTCTTCCTGCTCTTTTTCCTCGCGAAGTGAGCTCATCGATTCGTCGCTCACGAGATCGACGAGCTCAGGCGTTAGAACAATTCGAGCGCGAGCTGAAACATTAAATTTTTTTTTTGTAAAAATTTCCTAATATAAAAATCGATGCTGTTATTTCATATAAATAATGTATACAGCGACTTACACGAGGGTCCGGCCTCAGGCGAGGTATCCGGTCGACGTCTTACCCCGAGACGTCGAGTAGCTCGCTCGTCGTGGTTTCGACGCGTACCACGCACCACACCCTCTACCACCATAGTTTTTTTAGATGTTGGATGTTGTAGCGTTCCTAAAAAATAATGATTTTAATTTTTTTAAAACTTTGTTTTAATATTTATATAAAAAAAAAAAACTTAACCATTTTTTACAGCATCATTATAGCAATGCGACAGCCAGGTGATATAACCTCCCGCATCCTCTTCAGCATCGCTGAAAATACGTCTTATTTCGACAATTTCCCCAGCAATAATCAAGAGCTGAGGATAATTCGAAAAATGTCCCAACCGAAATAACACAGCAAGCACCGCGCTAGGGCACGCACCCGCAAACTTTGCGAATACCGT